TGACATTGGAAGGCATTGCCAAGGATGCGTTATGTGAATTAAAATTGTGAGAGAGAGCTGTGCCATGCAATAAGCAGGGAGACTAATATTTTCAGCTTTAATTACAAAGACCAGACTCTTGTATCCATAGTGCCAACATAGACTGTGATATTATCATCTGTATTTAAATGATGTATTGTATTGTTTGCTGCAGAACCATTGTTATCCTATACATTGCAGTGAATGAACAATTCATGCAGCCAGTAGTGTTCGTCATGTTTATTTTTGATGAGAACCACCCAACATAAATGTGTACATTGGATATTTAATAGTAATCATTGTTATACAAGTGGCATCTGACAGAGCAACCTATCCCAGCTATGGAAAACCTTTTACTAAAGACGGATCAAAATTGAATTTGAAATTTATTAACTCCAACTGTGGGTCAAATACAGTGGGTGATCGGTTAACGAACACTTTCATGAAAGATTTTTATGATTGGACAATGAACACGTTCGGATAACGAACACTTCACTGAACAAACACAAGAAGCAGTGAGGTAAAATAATGAATACTGACTGGTCTACCCTCATCTTCGGGCAACAATTCGAAACTTTTCGGAGCGTGGGAGACGTCGACATCGATGTTCTACCCAGTATATACTGATCGGATAGTATTCCCCCAAACTTTGAAACTCTCCCTTGTAATTCCAGCTTTTTATATTTCTGACAAAAACAATTCTTTTATGTTTTGAGGATTTATGCCGATATTTGCTATTAAAGATCTTTTGAGAAAGTGGGAGGATGTCAAAATAACAGTCTTAACCAGGCAGACAACGGCATCCAAACTAGGTTGAGGTTAATAGACCTAGGGATCTCTACAATTACAATGCTATTAATTATTTCTGAAAAATCATGAAGAAGACAGAAAACCAATCGACATTGGACAGATTTATAACCCCCAGAAACGGAAAAAACATGACTAATAAAAATGCAAGACCATGTATATATGTATTTTTATTATTACATATGAATAAACATAGTAAGAAAGTATAATTTTTTTATTTTTAGAGGATCTCCAGAACGAATTAATCAAATTCCCATAGAAACCTATGGTAAATCGATAATCGGTTAATGAACAATTCAGATAGTGAACAAAGTCTTGTAACGGATTATGTTCGTTAACCGATCACCCACTGTATTTTAATTAAAATTTTTGTATCTAAGATTCACAATTTAAGACTTTTGAGACAACTTTAGGACCCCTGCTTTCACACTGTGTGTGCAAAGTTTCGAAATCTGTCAAATAATTTATAAAAACCCAATACTTTCTAAACATTCAATTTGGATACAGTAAAACTATCAAATTGGTCACAGGTTTACCATCATCGACGTACACGAGTGGACACTTAATACTCCATGCCATTATTTCATGCACGATATCCAACAACCTACAAGCCAGACTATTTTTGCCCATTAAGGCAAGTCAAACTCACAATGACTAGACAACACTAGATCCAAACTGCATGCAGTAAATTGCAGGCACGCCTACTGAATTTGAACCGGAACCCACAAGGAGAAAAGCTAATGCTTTTCTGAGAGACCTGCCAAAAGGGAATAAATAATTAAGTGCACTTAACCAATATAAATATGATTATATTTATCACCAGAAAAATATATTCCTAGCAAAATGTGCAAAGTAAATTATTTTTGCACAAAGCTTGCTGAAAGAAAGCAGAGGGTACAATTAATTTCCTTGTTGCCGTCATGCTAGTGAATGCACTATTAATTCAGGGGTGCACAACCTGCGGCCCGCGGGCCACATACGGCCCCCTATCAATGTTTATGCGGCCCGCGGACGGTACAGGCCAAATCACTTTTTTCGAAGTTTCTAAGTGCATGTTTGGTGGCATGGGCCCGGGCGGACCCATCATCTGCATCGCTCCCGGCATGGGACCGGGCATGGATCCCATTCCGGGAGGAGGTCCGACCATGGGCATCCTGGGTGCGGGCTGCCTGGGATTACCCACTTGCAGACTAGCAGGAGGTGGTATCATGGCGCCNTTATTTGATTCCCGTTACAACATTACAGTTTTTTGTTATTGTTGATTTATGTAACAGTTCAATCGTTATTATTAATTAGCACATTGATCACAATAATAATAGTTTGAATCTAGTGAATACAATTAATATAAAATTTTTAACCAGTTTTCGTTTATTGAGATGCTAGAATTTTTATTTATACTATTATTTTTTCCACACGTATCAACTAAATAAAGATGAGAAAATCCGCCAAGTGTCTTAAGTTATTTTTCCTATTGAAATTGTCAATTATTAACACCATAAGACTGGGTAATAGCTCAAACCTAAACAATTCCAGAATATTGGAAGGTCCTTTACAACATACTGCATTAAATCTCAGTGTGCACCTCAAAAAACAGTGTACCTGTTAAAAATGTTCACCACAGCCACTACTTGTTTGAATTTAAATTCAAATTCTCTATGTTAATTTGAATGTAGTTCTATTCAAACTTGGGTGCTTAACTGTCCAGGAAAACCATTCTAATTTTGAAGATATATGCCCAAAACAATGGATCCAAGTCTTGTTGAAATTGGTTGCACATTTGTGTAATGTTAAAATGTTATTTTAAATATTGTGCTTTAGCACCAAAAGACAGTTTTTCTTTCAGTTTACCTTTCTGATGTAAACACAATCGGTTTCTTCAATTTAAAATCTTAAAGTTAGATCATTCTGTTGATTCTTCCAAAAATCAAACAGACAGACATACAATGTGTTCAAAAAGTTACCATGTAGCAAAAAATCTGTAATGACATTAACATTATACAGGTATACCTCGAGTTAAATTGTTCTTGAATATACATCGTCTCTCAAAAAAAAAATATATATATATATATATATATATGGAAATATATATAAGTCAATTTATTCAACTTTATGTCTGTCTGCCACAAATATTGAAGTCATAATATCACTAGAAAAGTGTTAAAAGCACATAAAATCATATTAAAATACATACTTCACAGTAAATGTTAATATGTTAATATAATCATCATCAAATCCTAGAGAACGAAAGGTGAAAACATCTGTGACTGAATGTTGTCTTACTTAGCGGTCCTTAAGAGCTCAATATTGGCCTTTTCCACGGTAGTTCCAATATCTAGTGTTTGGCGTCGTTGTCAGCACCACTCGGTATTTGTAAATTTAACATAAATTAGTTTTTATACTATTGCAAAATAATTTTAATAACTGTATTTGTTATTTAATCCTACAGAATAATTTTATTTTATAATGTCTTAGAGCAAACTACATTTACAAATAGTGCACTGTAAACATCATCAAATTGTTAACGTGTATAGTACATTTAAAAGTATGTACGTACGTACATATATTCGTAAATTTAGATTACTTTTTTTCTGTACTATATTAAAAACTAAAATTTATTTGTTTGTAACATTAAACCGGATTCTTATTAACCATACATTATTAAAAATGCATTTATAAATAAAAAACAGAACTGGGAATGGTTATTTATGGTTTAGCCTAGTAACAAGTAAATTCAACTTATGTCGTTTTTCAACTTAAGTCACCTCTCCTGGAACCAATTACCGACGTAAAGCGGCGTATACCTGTATATGGTATTGCATTTGAGACCCATAAGTTTACATCCATGTTTCCACTTTCTCTGGGGTGCAGTGACGAAACAAATGTACAAGAATATTGGAGGACCCAAAAGTGAGTAATTACACAACACGTGAAACAGATCACTCCCAGCACTCTCCAGAATAATACAGAACATTTGGCATAATGCAGTGACAATACGAAAACCAATTCCAATGTTTGCAAGAGGAGACACTGCAATATCATACATAAAACTTATTTAATCCATGATAACTTTTCTGACAGCCCGTGTAAACCACATTGCCCAATATGGCGGCCTTAATATGTCCAGACAAACAAACCAATCTGCGAGAATTAAAGATAACGAAGGAAAAAATTCAATAATACAATATTGTTAAAAGCCCGGATATATCAATTTTCTACCCAGAAAACGTCAGCTAATGCTTTCTCAACCTTACTCCCAACTTTAGTTGCCTCTGGAAATTGGTACCTTCGAGTACGACGATAAGAAACAACCCAAGTTTAGTCAGTCATCGCCCATTCATACCATTAGAATCAAGCTTCAGAATCACTCATTTGGATTTGTTTGCATGCTTCACCTGTATTTCTGTCCAGATGCTATGCAACACAGGCAATACCATCAAACTTTGGCACGGCAAACTATTTTCAGTTGTTGGGGACAGTTTTCCCGTGCTTTCCAACATGGGAAATATTAGTCGGGATGCAAAAACATTGTAAACTTAAGTCTCTCTCCTCACAATTGAAATATATATAAATGCAAACTATGTCTTGCCATTTCCTAGTTATATTTAGTTAATCACATTGTGCGACACCTCCTAACAAAGCTACCGTTTCCTTCTCCACCCTCTTACCATCAGTCTTGCCTGCTAGACTGCATCACCGCCATCCGTAAACGTGCTTGAAATCGGAATACTAAGCACAACCGAGTTGGCGTCAGAATGTTCCTAGTTTACACACACATTCGGCAACAGTCCCATTGTATGTAAAATCAAACCAAGTGCGTGTAATCAAATAGAATAGCCAGAAATAGTCAAACTGGGTTTGGCTATTTCTGGCTGTTCCATTTGACATGTATTTTAAGGCTTTATCGTGCAAATTTTGTGTATTTTGTAAAGTAATAAGCAAATTTACTTCAGTTTTTGTAAAGTTGTGTAATTTATTAACAAAATTTAAATATAAAATGTGTTTTTGTTAAGTGAATTTGATAACACCTAAAAGTCACTTCTACCCAACTCCTTTATGAATTTGAATCAATATTCTACGATTATATCATGTTTCAGCGTATAATTTTCAACTTAAATCTCATTTATGTGCATAAATTAATGGTTTTAATCAATTTAAATCGTAAAATTGATACTTACTTCGGCATTTTCTTTTGTAGTTAACCAAATTCAAAACAGCCGACGATTCTCTCGACAAACTTTCCATGCGCCACCTAACGGCGTAAGTTAAGAATTTTTTTTTACACCTTTAATGAATTTTATTTTCCTACAACTTATTTAAAAAAATTATCGTGTGACTTTTTAACGCATTAAATATAGATAATTATTTACTTTCGTTTGTATTAAATTATAGTTCGGAAACTATAAAAGTATATGTATAAACATCAGTTGCCACCTGGTGTTGGAACCGGAAGACATATGTGGCGTGATTCGTTTCGTCTGGAGGTAAATAAGTAAATTTCGCTATATTTTAATTACTATTATTTCATTTTGTCATTAAGTTGGAATTTATAGGATAAAACGAATATTTTTTACTTACGTATCGCTTCAAACGATACAAAATTTTTATTTTTTATTTCGGTTTTGACGTAATTTTAACGGATTCGGCTTATTTGGCTACTTATTAGCCAAAACGGCGTGAAATTTAACTCTGCGTGGCATTTTCTAGTAAAATCGTGTCCAATTACGCCAGCGATCTCACTGAAAATTATTAATATTTCTTGCGTTATTTCGTTCTTTTTAAAGCTGATTATTATTATTATTATAACTCGCTGTTTTGCTATTGTTAATCCGTTTTATTTTGTCGTACGGCATTCGAATGCCCGTTACGTTCCGATTACTCCCACCAGGGGTCCAAACTACTAAAGGTCTTACGTCACAGGAGGAAATTTCAGGGTACAAAAGCCAGCGAGACAATTTACATTTAGCATTTTTCCTTCCTTAAATGAGCGTGCGCGCGGCTACAAACAAGAAAGAATGGGTGATGCGGTTGTTGAGAGAACTTGAAACCAAAACAGTTAAATGACGTCATAATATCACGTTTCGGCTATTCGTGGTAGATTTTTTTCTACGTATGGCTACAAAGGAATCAATATGGCGACTGCCGCAATGCATCACTCGTGTCCAGACCTTGGTTTCTTGATGCCAATTACGAAAATAATATTTAGTGAAACGGGTCAGAATTGTCGCTATAAAATATCGGAGGCAGCCGATCGAGAAAGTTCGATATTGCTCGAAAATGCATTTATTTATATTGTAAACGACAACAGAACGCGTTCATTCGCCATTACTAATAAATCTGGAAAATTTAGTCTATTTTTCCGATAATCAGTTTAGAATAGCTTTTTTATACGTCACAATTTTCATTTCGGGTACAGTAATACGCGTGTAATTTCATCTGGCAGCCATCTTGACATCTGTCTTGGACGCTCGCTGCACTAGCGCTACAGCGGCTAAGTTAAAGCGGAAATAGTGCTAACAAAAATATTAATTTAAATTTTTCTTTTGGCAATTTTCACCACCAGAGTGCGTCCTGTACTTAACGTTACTAATCTGCCAATCGGCAGTCGCTACAGCTTGCATTCGGCGCCCCAACGTCAGATATCGGAACTAGAAATGACGTAGTGCGCGGTGTGTGTAAATGCGTCACGGATCGGAAACACTTATTTCACGCGTCGCGGCCAATTTCTGGCCAGAGCGTAAATTTTGTTGACAGGTATCGGGCTTAAGTGATTATTATTAAAAAATATTTCCTTACACTGCTCGTAAAACGTCACGCGACAGCTTAATTGTAATATCTGACACCCGTGGTGCTGTGTGTCATTACGTCACGACTTTTGCACAATCTAATCTAATGGGAGGACGATTGTGATTTTGGAGTGTAAAAATTAGAGACCAAAGGGAAAAGTTATTAGGCCCAAATACGGAATGGCTGCCATGATTACGGATGGGGAAAACAATACCTTATGGATAATACTTCCCGTAAAGCAACACATACCCAGGAAGATTTGGAAATTTTGGTCACACCAGCTTGTAATTTGAAATTACGACTGTGTTTGATGGCGGAAGCAATGTGGTCCGGCTTCCGCCAGACCTTCTTACGGCCTTGTCACTACTGCCATAGGTCATTACTGTGTTAACGAGCATATGAAACTAATTGATTGTGTGAACCGTTTTGACGTCGAGTCAAAGTGCCCAAGCTAATGTCTTGTTTCTTAATTTTGGAATCTGGCCACTTTAATTTAGTACAGAAAAGAAACTGTATACAGTTAGATAAAACAATAAAATAACAGACTATTGTTCGTCAAATGATCCTGTCAAGGGCAAAACCAGATTTCTTTACCTTTTGCCCCAAGTACCGAGAGGGCCTTTCCTTCGAGTCCGTAACAGAGTGTCCTGTGACCATTTGTAAGAGACAGTCGGTCTTTCAAAATATTCTTGGTAACGACCTGGATTCGATCACGGGTCCCACAGAGTGGTAGGATGATGCCTTGTCCATCCGAAATGACTTTATAAATCTCTCCATAGAGGAAAACTTCTGTCATCTTTCTCTTATATGGAGTTTGAGCTCAGTTGAACACAAACAAACCAACCAAACAGTTGTACCTGTTATTGAATGAGATGATACCTGCTCTTTTTCAAACAAATTCTTCATTAAAATCATTAGTTGGCAACACCGTGGCCCATGTTGTGCATGCATAAGGTCTGGCAACAATAATTCTTCACACCGGTGGAACTAGTTTTAAGATTAAAATGTTTTTATGGAAGTGAAATCCATGCATGCATGATATATTTTTAATGTCGACTGACGTTGACAGATTCCATCATGGCAAGCAGTAATAGCATACGCATACTTGCTATTACAATGTCACTTTACGACAGAAAACTGATTGCGTTGACGAGCCATCAAGCATCGTGGCAGTAAGTGGCAAGTTGAGCATTTTCAATGTGGTGTTTAATGAATTTATGTAATATATTATTGATGTCAAACAAACTGCTAGATTAATTATTGGGCTGTGATGAGGCATATTAAAAATTAAGTTTAACATTAGATGGTGCCCTAACCAGCCATGTACAGCCAAATTGCTTTATATCAAACTGCCAAATTAATAATGTTGCAGCCCAATAAATAATCCAGCAGTTTGTTTGCCATTAGTAATTGAATTGGGTTGATGTATATGTTATTATTTCTTCTTTCTAGGTATGGAACGAAGCATACACATTCTATTAGGAGTCACCGGAAGCGTTGCAGCAATTAAAGTCAAACAATTAGTTCAACTATTGCAGGAACCAAAGTCGGAAGATGTCTACGTCAAAGTTAAAGTGGTCGCAACAGAAAATGCTTTACACTTCTTTTCGTTGGAGGAACTGAAAGAGATCGCTCCGGTTTTCAGAGACGAAGACGAATGGAAGACCTGGAAGAAAATTCCGGATCCAGTCCTTCACATCGAACTAAGGAAGTGGGCAGACATCATGGTTGTGGCGCCACTGGATGCGAACTCTTTGGCCAAACTAGCCGGCGGCATCTGCGACAACCTTCTGACCTGCATCGTAAGGGCCTGGGATTCCAAGAAACCTCTGTTTTTCTGTCCGGCAATGAACACGCACATGTGGGACCACCCCGTTACACGAGAACACGTGGAAAAGCTGAAGAGTTTCGGCTACGAGGAGATTCCGTGTATCTCCAAGAAGCTGGCCTGCGGAGACGTGGGATTCGGCGGAATGGCCGAAGTTCCGACGATTGCGGAAGTGGTTCGAGAGCGAATGAATATGAAATAACGAAATGGCACCAAACACGTCTGAACACGTAGGAATACATAAATTTAATGAAGCAAATATTGCACATGATAAAAACTCTTTATAAATGTGCAAATTAAGTGAAATTTTACAGGAATATAAAAAGATGTATATTATTTTTTTTTAAATATCCTTTCATAAACTGAAACAATGTTAATTTCATTTCGGTGTCTTTAAATGTTTTACTATGTTACAAACAACGTTATCGCTGCTAAACAAATAAATACTAGCTCTTGGCAAGAGAAAAATATTTAGCATCTGCAACGTTGGCAAATATTGATATGATAAAGACGTAGGGTACCTTTGGTTTTGCGATTTCTTTCGAGATGAGGCCTCTGCAAACATCTAGTAATTTAACATGTAATATTGCACATAGTTTAAGGAACGGCGATTATTATTATAGGGGGGAAAAAAATCAAAATATATCTCGTAAACGCTTCTCACATGCAGTGGTTACAACAACACATTAACAATTATTACATAATAATTATATGTACACTATACAAAAAATTATGCTGCCTGATAGACACAAAATATAATTGGCAATCTTGTGTATATATATTTTTTTCTTTTAAGTGATTCATAATTCGTTAATTCATATAAAGTTAGGCAAAATATCTTCTTTAGAATAAATCACTAACGTGAATACAAGCTTCTGTTGCCGACTCGGTAACGAAAAATATATGTTAACAGAAGGAGGCGATACATCCCGCTCTCGTCGTCAATAATAGATCCGTCGTCCGTCGGACAAAAGTATTTTAAATAATACACTTGGGCTTTGCTGTCGTCCTTCAACAAATTCTGTACAAACTGATTTTTTAACGTCTCCTCGAAATATATAAAAGAATTACGGAGATGTTAGATCGTTGGAGCTTTTCGAAGCGCCCTTTTTCACATTGAGGCCCTGAAAGCCGTGCGTGAACAGCTGCGATTCTTCGTAGGCCTTTCGTCCTTCTTCTCCTGTAAGTGTTTAATTGGTTAGTACTCATTTTTCGGCACGCAAACTTACATGCCAGATATTGGCAAGACACTGAATAAATACTGGGTGATCAGCCAGAAAGTTTCCTTGTAAGCAATAGACTTGTAATGACACAAATTGGTCAGGCTCACCACACCACCCGATGCATGTCCTGCCTGAATGTTTATTGTGAACAGACTGCAGGAGGATGTTTTAAACTCTGAATAAATAAATTGGTGGCAAGAAACAAACCAGTTGGGCGCTCCCAAGTTTCCAAGTCTACCGCTCACAAATAACCACTTTGTGTGATCACCAAACGCTTCTGCAGTGCACGTAATCATAAGTTATTGCACTATGAGAGGTCAACATTTCAAAATGCTTACCAAATGATAACAGGGCATCTCTCGCCTGCTGTCGAACTCTAAAATTCTCGTCTGCATAGGTTAGGTACACCAGCTGCTCCATGTATTCGGTAGCCTACGAGACATATTTGTTATTAATTAATAAATCATTAAAGTAAAAAATTTTAAAGGAGTCTTACCTCCAAAACGGAGAGTGCTGCACAGGAAGACTGACGTATTGCATCGTGTTCTCTTTCTAATCCTTCTAAGAACACTGTTAACATCTGACAAAGAAAATATGTTAGAAAAAAATATAATGAAATATGAGCAAGAAGGACAAAAATTACCTCTTCTCTTAGAGATCTTCTGGAAGCATCTTTTAAATATGATTCTACACAATTTTAATTAATTTACAACATTAAAATGGATTGTCTGCAAATTCTAGAATAAAAATTATTTGTAATTAAACTCACCTGCAAGTCTGGTTATCACTGAATTGTGACCGATCAGCAATTGAGAAATTGAAAATAACACTTCGCTGACAGGTACGCACTTACGGAGTGCAGAGTAAATATATAAAAATATTTATAACAATGTCTGAAATGTTATTAATTTAATACACCTAAGTACTCGATGAAGACAAAATCCTCTCCCTCTCCCCCCGTGGGGGGAATTCCGAAAAAAATTTTTTTAGTGTGCATTGCCATGGTATACCCTACTATAACGCAGATAAAAACAAAATATCGCATCTAAAATAGTACAGTAGAAGCAGTTATTCCGGTTAAGCCTTAATGCTCTCCCTCTCACTTCGCGGGGGAATTTCGAAAAATCCCTTCTTAGTGAGCGTTTCCATGACGTACACTAACTGTCTACCAAATTTCACCTCTTTAGGTTAAGCGGTCTGCTCTGGGCGATAATGAATCAGTGAGTGAATAAGTGAGTCATTCAGTCAGTCAGTCAGGACAAGCAATTTTATATATTTAGATATAGATATAGATATATATAAGATAAGTTTAATTAAGTCGGGGGGTCGGAAATCGCGATAAAAATTTGAATTTTTGATAAATATTTAAAAATATATGGCTAACTACTACTCACCCTACTATAAACCCATCGCCTCCCGAGACTTCTATGAGAATGTCCCGGGAAATTTGACTCCAGCTGTTCTCAAGGTCATCCAGCTGTGTAAACAATGACTCATAGGTGTCAAATTTCACAGAAACGCGAGAGAAAGGAAAATAAAATTTCAAGCTTTTTCTTCAAAATTAACGCATTTCTTTCGTTTTTTCAGTTTTAAGTATTTTTTATGTTTAATTACATTAATATCAAAATTTTCTCGGGGATTAAGGAGTTAAGTATCATGCAATTTTGTGTAAATATGTGACAGCGCTTGAAATTCATGGATGTTGACACTCGCAGTGAATGACACAACTTTCATTGCAAAGAACAGATCGTTAGTCTTTTAGTTAATCGCTTCAGATTTTCAAGTGCATGAAAAAGGTTTGTACGTTGTAGATTATATGAGTGCAATGTCCATCGTGCAGACTATTCAAAATGTTTTGTTGCGATTTATCGTAGGTATTAAACGATGTCGAGGAAGTACTAAAACGGAGCTTAATACTTTTCGTTTCAGAGTAACATTTGAAATGCAAAAATCTCATTGGTTTTAGTAATACAAGTATCAAACTATGGGCAGTACTTTTAGAATCGTATAGTACAGTCGACCCCTCTATAACACTGTTGATTTTTCTGTTTTATATTAATTCCATGTTGTACGAGTCTCTTAGATTTTACAAATACATGTGCCGGGCTGTGTACGGCTCACGTATTTGTAAAATCTAAGTGACTCGTACAACATGGAATTCATATAAAACAGAAAAATCAACAGTGTTATGGGGGTCGACTGTAACTAAATCGTGATGCAAATTTGCATATTGCTAAACAGCGCAGTATAACAATACGACATGGGGCATAAGCGCGACATCAGTGACAGAACTAATAATACTATCATAGCCTTGCACAAAGACGAAAGAACATAAAAAAAAATTGCGAATTTTGTCTTTAAACTGCTCGCCGCGAACAGTCTCTAGACTACTGAAACAACAAAGCCCTGTTCAAGTTTTAAATAACACACGCCAGAAAAGTGGACGTACACGAGCTAGATTGCTCGCAATCGTGCACCTCGCACGATTGCGAGGGATGAGAGAAACTTGAGAAGGATTGTAGTGTAAAACTGCTTTAAATACGTTAAACACTTGCATGCGCAATGTAGAACAACTAGTGTGAATTTAGTAGCCGAACCACATGCCGAAGGTTGCACGAGTTGCACTTCAACTGCCGTGTTCTCAAGACGAAGCCGTCTCTAACGAAAAAGCAACGAAAAGCGCGTGTCAAATGGTGAAGAGAAGGCTCGTATGAGGAGAAGACGACTGGAACAACGTTCTCTTCAATGATGAATTCCTGTTTTGTCTCTCCTGTAGTGATCAAGGCTCACGTATATGGAAAACAACCAAAGAGANTTTGTTATTGCGTATTGGTTCGATTATAGAACGATTGTAAACGTTTCAGAAAATTGATCAAATTGAAAATAGTTCGTTTGATTTTCGGCAATTCTCTTCAGCGGTAGGTGTTATATAACAATTACTATGGTTATTGAAATATTGGATGTAAATGGGGTTTGCTTGCAAAACCTCCGCTGACGAAGTCGCGGGTAACAGCTAGTAGTGATATATATATAGAGGTTTTCCGGTGACATTACTAAAACCTGTTATTTCAGGTATTAAAAGCGGAAAAAACCTCACAAATTGCATTACGCACTGTTTGCTGAGTACTTAAAATACCTAATGCCTAATAAATAGATTTGAAAGAAACTATGAAAGTTAAATTAATTCTGGATTTGTAAATCCGAGCACCAGGTTGCCCAATTTTATTTTTTTAAGACTAATTGCTTCGTGACTTATCTCAAACAATCTACATTTTACAAGTTACTAATATTTCAGTAAATTTTTCCTTACAATTTCGTAATTATACGTTTCAAGAAGTAAAGCTATTGGGTTATTCATTTCATTTCTCTTCATTAAATGTGAAATTTATTAAATTAGAAGTAGAATTACATAATCTCTGCTTCATCATCACACCAACTCCTGTTATTTTTACCACTGAAAAGAATACGGAATATAATGCACTCACAATCTATCAGAGAGAAATTAGTGTTAAAGGTACTTCAAGAAAACAAGTATTTATACATTACTTACCCGATTCAAGAAATATTTTCTTACATAGAAAAAGTCTGCGATTGAAATTTCCATTAACTTTCCCTAATGTGGCCAACCCTCTCGGTTTGTAATGTATAATTTTTTATCATGATTAAATTACATATAAAAATAGTGTGCTATACAATTACCTGTCTTTAAAATTATGAATTGCATATCATTATTAATTAAAACTAGTTCAGTGCAGTTCTATTTTAAGCTTACATTAAAAATCAAGCCTAATTTAAATGCAGACAGAATATGGAGATGCGTAACAGAGAATTATTAGAAACACAGTAGTGCTGTATCTAACAATTCACAGGAGTAATGTGCAGCAAATATTAACCTTCACATAAAATAATATGAATTTTGTGGCAAATGCTAGTGAGCAAGTGATATATCACGTTTTGACGAGAGATCTACACATGATCGGGTATAACATTTTAAAAATGTAACTTTGTTTTGTTAGACTCTCACAATGTCCCTCGACAAAGGTTCGATGAATGTGATGAATTCGCTTTAAAAATATTCTTTCAGAATTTTCTACACTTGAAGTAGACAATCTTTCAATTGTTGGCAACTTAACCACTATTTGTACCAACTATCAGTTATTCAGAAGGACGTGGTTATTCAAAATTAAATTTACTGTTGTCGAATGTAACATTATTGGATGTAGTAACTGTATTACATGATTTGTGTTTGTTCATTACTCCAGTTACTTGCACCACCGAAGAGAAAATGGAATACAACGCACTCACCATCTGTGAAAGTAAACAACACGTTTACTGTGTAGTGACAAAATTTACATATATTGACTTACCCGAATCAGAAAATTTTTACGAATGTAAAAAAAGTCTCCAACAGAAACTCCCATTTTGGCTTTTCCGTATCTTTTCATGAAACATGTTATCTGAAAATAGTGAAAGAATAATTATACAATTGAGAAATATAATGGAATAAGTACATTTAACTGTTACTTGTACTATACCTTATACTTAAATTCAACTGACAAAAAATTCGAAGAGAATCTTTGAATCGAAACGAAATTATCGTAGATCTGAAAAACGAATAGATTTGTCATTAATCAAGTAATTAATAATTAATATAATTTGACTTTTTTATGTAATTGGTCTATTACAAAAAACTGTTTTAGCAGAAACTAATATATAAAATATATATTATATTACTACAAAATTAATAAAAATTAAGATAATAGTAAAACATCGTACTTACCAGAGATGTCAAGTAAGAAAGACCCAAAGAAACCGAAAGACTTCCTGTTAAGAATACCATCGAAATTGCGGAAAATACTACTCGAATCTGAAAGCTGACATCGAAAAACAGCGAAGCGAAACACAGAAAACACGTTTCGTATGTAAAGTGGGCGTATATCAAAGCGAATAGATATACCCATTGCTTGTTGTTCATTTCAAACATCTCCCAAATCTCTGTGTGCTTCTCGCAGATTTCTTGTAATACATGCTTCAGTGATGAGGAAGTTGTCGTTATTTGTTCTAATTCTTCAGATAACTTTATAAGTCTCTTCGCTGCGATCGTTGATATTATAGAAAGTAGAAGAAGGACCGAACATATCTGTCCTACGAATTGTAGATAAAGAAACGAAAAGTATATGGAACAAATCGTTGCTTCGAATGTACTTCCATTATATTTTCTGATGGTTGGAAACATAAGCATCGTTGGCATATTAGAAACTAATAAAAGTAAGACGAATACGCCTACTAGATAGCATAATACGGGTAATTCCAGTTGATCTTGCAATTCTTCTTCACCTTCGTAGGCGCTTTTCATGAAATGGAAAGAATTTTTTTTTCTCTTCAAGATCGAAAATTGAAGAGCGACGTAAATATTAATAATAAGAATTACGACGTGCATTTCTGTCCCGTATTTACCGTAGATGTGGGTAGTTCGGTAACAAATAAAATTTTCATTGAAAATTACAACAAACAGAAAAAGTGACGAAAACCATAAAAATAATTCAGTTACTTTTACGTAAAAGCCGTAAAAAGTGCTTTTGCGATTTTGTGGCTTTCGACAATTTTCTTCCTCGAAACAGATGCATTTTTCGAACGGTTCGAGTGCAAACACTTTCGTAACATGAAATATTGATTGAATATTATAAATTGGGCAACGATCCGATCGTGTGTAAGCGCAATCTGTGTATTTTCTTTTGCCGAAAAGTTCAATTTTTCGAAAACTGCTGATCAATTTTGAAATGCTGTTTCCCATTTTTTACTTTATGCTCACAAAATATTTTATGAACGTAAATAAAACAATTAAAGTAATATTATTAATTACTTTAAATTTACACTGATTTGGGTCTTTTGTATATTGACATAAACAGAATTTATATCTCAATCTACAAGAATATCGCTAGCTGCATGTTCTCTGGTGTCTTTCTTGTTTTTTTTTTTTTTTAATATTTACGTAAATGTTCAATATCGGTGGTATTTCTTCTTTACTTTACAATTACAATAAGATCGCATGTAAAATTTCGAAAAGTACATTTTTTGGAACATTTGAACAGTTTAGGAACTTTTTTGAAATCAGACTGTAATTGTTTTCCGGAAAATTAGACGAAAACAACCTGTAAAAATAATTACACATAAAACGTATAGAATTAAACCACGAATTTACAATAATATTATTGTTTAAGACTTTCATTTTCAATACAAAATATTCTGAATACACCATGTTTTAATAAAATTGTTCAGTAGTAAAGTTTTGCTATTTTGATTCGTTTATTAACTTTATTATTTTATATTGTACTAGCTGCAAGGACCCGCTTCGCTGGGTTTTTATTTGTTCGTACATTTGTATGTAATGTACTTTTTGTTTTCCAATTTAATTTCACGTGCAGTCAAACGAACTATTTTCAACGTTTCTGGAACGTTTACAATCGTTCTATAATCGAACCAATATTCGATTTTTATGTTCGAATTAAATTCGAACAAATTCGAACATAACATTCGAAATAGAAAACCACTTTCAACCACTTTCAGCCCCATATCTCCCGCACCCTTATAGCTATCGAGACGCAACC